CCACTTATCCCTTAAAACCAATAAAACCCTGACGTTTACAGTACAGTTTAACAAAAAGAAAATAATTTGCTCAGCAATCAAGATAGTAAAACAACAACAATTGGGTGTATAAAACTTCAAATAGACAGTAGGTAATGCCCCAAAAATGTACGAAAACATTTTCTACAGAGAATCGAACTAACATACGACAGCCAAAAAACTAATTACTCGCACACTAACATGACGCCGTCAGGTTAGGCGAAGTTCATTAACATCACAAATCTTGAGTTACTATACGCATGTGTACGTGTCTAGTTCAAAATTAGAAACTATACTTTTCAGGCAATTTGAAGAATAACATATTGATTAAATATTGTACTAATGTAATTTTATTAACCCGTTCGTAACAATGACGAACGGCGTTTTCTGTAAAAATTCGTTTATTCCCGGTAGTTCTATGTGGAAAAATTGTAAACTTGACGTGTCATAATTATTCCCATTAGTTTCATGTAATTTTAAACTATTTTTACATCTGACTTTTCTTCCTCATCAGATCTTTAGAAGTTCATTAATTCCATTTCCAAAATGGACAAATATTTTAAAGTGTCTATAAATGCAAAACATTATCAGCAGTAGAGCAGTAGAGTCCTTGTGAAAGAGTTCGTCCAGGGAAGTACTGCCACCTTACCTGTTTCTTTTTAGTGAGCATTGCTGCTTTCCAGTTTTGAAGGATAAGGGTGCTGGTAAAATTACAGACATATGGGATTTGTCAACTCATGTCTGAGTTACATAGACGCAGCGGCAGTGAGTGAGTGGCACAGCAACGGTTATGGATAGACGTGTACCTTACCATCAGGCGAACGACTCGTTCATCCCGTCACTTGATGCTATATAAAAAGACTTTATCATTATTACAGCTTATCTACACAAAGATGTCAAAATAACACAATATTTTTTTTTTTTCGATTACGTTATCTGTTCTCCACTATTTGCTTTCGCGGAAAATGGTGTTTACATATACCTACCCACTTCTCTTCCCAGACTTCGACCGTGTGGAATCACGTAGAATGTATGAACAGGTAGGTACTAGCGTAAATATACTCACGAGATACATTTGGGTCACCTGCAAAAAATATTAAAGACGACATCATGGAGAAAGACACTAACTTGAGCCAATAATATTATCCTTTTTTATTTATTCTCAAAGTCGAAAAGTATGTTTTTGTTTGTGTAGATTCTTAATTTAAAGTTGTTTTATGAGGGTTGAGATATTTTTTATTTCTTTATGTTTGAAAATAAATTTGTTTATTTTTCTCTGACGTGGGTTTTCAGATGTATTATTATTAAATCCGTTGTCCGAACGTCGTCGAAATGCCAGCCAGCTATTCGAGTTAAGGTAGGCGTCCACAGATCCGCAGCGCACGCATAGGATGGATCGCATCAAACGGCACGCTTGTGGCATTACGTCCACTGTATCCGCAGCAATCGGATTGCCGACGCAACTACTAGCTATCGGATTGTCGACGCCACTTTTCGTAGCGAGCGGACGAGTGTAACTTGTGTGTGCGAGACAATGGATTTAGAAAGTGATGAAGAACAATTTATCGTGGTGGCTTGCTTGTTGGCAGAAGAAAAAAGAAGAGAAAAAAAAGGAAACATGATATCTGGATACGTGACATATTTAAGAAGAGATCGTAACATAGAGAATATGATACTCTATTTCCTGATTTGCTAACCGACGACGTAAAATTCGTCCAGTATTTTCGTATGTCTCATGCTAAATTTACTACTCTTCATAACAAATAGCAAATGACGTCTGGCGCGGCTTGCGTCCATTGATACGTAACGCAATCCATATGACGTCGTCGGCAGTTGTATGAACTTCTATACAAAGAATACTAAAATCTGTATAATGCGATCCGTCCGATGCATGCGCTGCGGATCTGTGGACGCCTACCTCTATTTAAACTTTGCTAGCGATCCGAAACCATGACCCCTGGGTGTAATACGATAATGATAATAGGTAACCTGGCACCGTATTAACCGCGTCAATTGTAAAAAAATAACTCAACAGAAAAAAATTGCAAATAGTGCAAGTAAATTACAAAAGTATAATAAATATTATTGCTCTTGAGGTTTACGCTCTGTCCTGTAACTGTATGGTTTGATATTTTTTAATATCATCATCTACGGTCGGTTATCACAAACTGAAACTCTGTTGTAAATTAGTATAGATTCCATACACCGAAAAGACAATTTGATTGTAATAAACAAAAACATGTTTATGTGATCATATCAGGTGCACGAAAGAGCCTCCTACCTTTTCTTTCCAATAGGGCTAGCATATCAGAGAGCGACTTGACATAAAGCGCGGAATTTCTTTGCGAGAATAACAGTTTCTCGCGCTTTGTTCGTTCTTGGTCAAATCGCGCCCTGTTGTGTTAGCCCTACTGTAAGTGTGGTGCAGCCAGTAGGGTTAGCACAACTGGGCTAGCACTACAGGGCTTGCGAGAGATCGACATAAAGCGAAATACTAATATACTTCCTTAGACCAAGTCTCTCGCGCAAGTCGCGCCCTGTCGTGCTAGCCCTATAGGGCAAGAATCGGCGAGTACCTTACGTCGATTGGTAAATTCTTTTGTTACGGTGGCAAGCATTATTGCATGTCATCGATACGATAAGAAGAAGATGAATCATATAAGTTCAAAGATTTTCAAGTATGATTGTAACCTCATATTTTATAATTGCAGAAACCATTTTGCGTAACGAATTTAATCATGTTGTGCTTGATTTCACCAACTATTTCGATAATTTCATCAACTTGATTGAAGAGTAAGTTCTAAGCATAGTTCAAAACAAGTTAGAAATTCCTACATTAAGTAGTGAAAATGAAGTGACGAAAACCTAGACAAACAAAGTCGTTCGTATAAACTGCTTTATAACATCAAACAAACGACAACGTACAGCAGTAAACGCCACAATGAATAAGAGTTACTAAGTTAGGTGTATGCAAGTTTTATTGTAAATAATAAATAAATAAAACGAAAGAATACAACAAAAGCCCCAGCTGTCGTGTCTAGGATTTCTCAATTCGTTCACCATCGGAAAGATAAAAAATATATTATATACCCGATGCTATAATAAAGAATGTACAACAGTTTTAGAACAGATATTTCCACTTTGAGCCTAGCATAAATGTAATAGTATTGTTACGAAAAATCCGTCGGCTTATAGGACAATAATATTATATATAAATAGATTTTTCTTTTAGTAAAGTGTTCTGTGCAGTACTCACCTACGTGAGTAGTATAACCGTGTATTTCTATGGGAAAAGAGAAATGTTTTTATCCATAAAACCAGCGCAGTCACAAAGGTATGTACTACACTGAGCGCGAGCGAGATACATGGCGCCATAGCGGCGGCATTTTTTTCCACTGTGGGGCCACAGGAGTTGAGGCGTTATACCGCAGCGCCAGGGGCGTGCTTGCAGTCCATGCGGCGTGAAAAACTAAAATCGCATATTACTAGACAATTGCGGCAGGGCTCGTCGCCGGCCCCACCAGAGTTTCAAGTAAGGCTATTATTATCACACTGCTCAGCACAAAGCAGCGGAGTAAGCGGGACGATGTATCATGCGCTTACAGACGTTGTCAGTACATTGTACGGCGCGTGTTTTCTATACAAACTGAGATACTTCTCCACAACGTTAAAAAACGCAGCTCCGCACACCGTCGCATAGCGTGGAGCAGTGTGATAATCGCCTAGGTCGCCAACGCGACACGGTGCGTGTATGAAAGTGTGTAAAGAAATGCAAGGGCGACTACAACTATTGTTACAGCGCCATGTGTAACCAGCCTTAGGAAAAAAAATGTTGGCTGATATATTTATTTTATGGAATATGATGATGTTTTAACTACCAAGGTATTCGTATATTGTTGTTGTTATTGATACAAAGATCTAACGAACATAAAGAAAAAATCCTTCGATCCGACTGAACTTAAACTGGTGTCTGTTGCCTTACCGTGGCTACTTTTTTACCAACTGAGCTTCTAGATCTAATAGATCTACCAGATCTTACGAATGCCTCTATATGCTTGCTATAGATCTTTATATCGGATTTAAACGGCTTTTTAATCGTAGTGCGTCCCGTACCTCTCAGAAACCTATAAAAGTTTCTTCACTCAGCCTTGACAGTAACCAAAAAACTGTAGAGACGTCGCAACATTGTTGGCGATAGATGTATTTACTTCCCATAGTAAAATTTGTACAGTCACGGAACTACAAAATGATTTGCACCTTATAGTTCCATGAAAATAAAAAAAATCTGGATACTAAACACGTTTTTCGGCTGATCTAAAAAAAGTTTTCTTTGACTCTACAATCAGTAGAACTGATTTGAGTAGGTACTGTAGTCTAGGCTCTACTCTATGAGTAGAATCACTGGCTGAATGAATAGTTTTGTAATTAGAATGTGTTTAAAAATGAAGTAAGAAAAGAATAGAGCATCTTAATACCGTATACCGGGGTTACTTTGATCTACGGGATTACTTTGATCAAAACTTCCTTTTCACATAAAAATGCAAATTGCGTAAAAGGCAACTACTTTTGGGAGATTTTTTTTTTCGGGTGGCAATACTGATAAACAGTCAAATTCATTTCTGCGGGTGCGCTGGAGATTTCTCTGTATTTTGTGTACAAAAATGTAAGTTTTTCGTTACAACCTATTTTTCATTAAAAAAATGTGTTGCAAAACTTCATGTGCAGCTCAGTGTGTGTTAGTATCATGATTTTTTTGGGTAGAATCCAAAGAGTATTGTACATGTGTGAATTCATTACAAAATTTTTTGTTGTTCTAACCTTAAAGCTTCCGTTATGGCGTCGGTTTATTATATGCGGTGTGTCATTGATAGGGTGCATGGTGTGAGATTGATCATGTGATCAAAGTTACCCCAGCTGCTAGCAGGAAAATTTGCTTTGTGGCTTTGCTTTAATATTTTTAATATTATTTGTTTTTCAGAACGATGCCACGAATATATAAAAGAAAACTAGGTTCCCGCGAGTACCGAAATTACACAGAAGCCAGGTTAGAAGAAGCATTAACTCAAATCGTGGACGGTAAGCTAACCATCAGAGGGGCATCACAGCTTTATAATATATCTTATGGAACTTTGTATAATAAATACAAAGGGACGCACGTTAAAAAGCCTGGCGCTCAACCAGTTTTCTCGGAATCTGAGGAAGAAGCTTTACTGAAATCAGCGGCAAAGTGTGCAGACTGGGGTTATCCTCTGACTATTCTGGATTTAAGGTTCCTCGCAAAAGCTTTTCTGGACAGACAAGGGCGAGTGGTCTCTAAATTTACTAACAATCTTCCCGGAGTTGAGTGGGTATATTCTCTTCTACGACGCCATAAAGGTGAATACTCTCAAAGGGTTTCATCAAATATTAAAAAAGCTAGAGCAAATGTTTCTCATGAGAGTATACATGCTTACTTTAACAATCTTACAACTGTTGTTAAAGATTTGCCAGCGTCTAATATTTTTAACTATGATGAGACGAACATGAGCGATGACCCTGGAAAAAAACAAGGCATTTACAGACGAGGGGTCAAATATCCAGAAAAAATTATTAATTTCTCAAAAAGTGCTACTACAGTGATGGTATGCGGGTCTGCTGATGGTGTTATTTTGCCACCCTATGTCATATACAAAAGTGCACATCTATACGATACATGGAAAGAAGAGGGACCGCGGGGTGCACCATGTTGCGGGAAGACCTGCTGCTCCCAGGGATCTCGATTTAACAGAACCAGCAGTGGCTGGATAGATAGCATAACGTTCCGTGATTGGTTTAGGACTTCTTTTTTGCCGCACGCCAAAGCATTGCCAGGTAGAAAAGTTTTGATTGGGGACAATCTATCCTCACATATGGATGATGACGTTCTAAATGAATGTGAAAAAAACAACATTGATTTTGTTTGCCTGGTTCCATACTCAACTCATTTATGTCAGCCGTTAGACGTGGCCTTCTTCAGGCCAATGAAAAGCGCTTGGAGAAACGTATTGACTAACTGGAAAATGCAAAACCCTCGTTTATCAACTGTCCCAAAAGATACTTTTCCGCGCTTGCTCCAAAAGGCACTAAAAAAGATAGATTCAGTCCAAGCCAAACCAAACTCACCTTTTGCAAATGTCACTGAAGGAGTGAAAAGAAATTTAATGAGTGCTTTTAAAGCCACTGGCATATTTCCCCTATCGAGAGAACAGGTGTTGAAACGACTGCCTATTGTAGAAAATAGCGACCCGACGAACGAAGTTGAAAGTTGTTTAACTGACTATCTCAGAGAACAGCGTTACGGTGGTCAATTAGTAGGTTCTAGAAGAAGGACAAGACTAAATGTTGAGCCAGGTGCTAGCGTCTCTACTGCTAATGCAGTTGACACGCAAGCGCCTGAGAGAGATGCCCATGACTTAAATGCTTCTAATATGGACCAAGGAAACTTACCTTCAAATAATGTTGAAGAGGTACCGCGTGATCTGGTCCCTATAGATGAGGCCACTGAGTCTGAAAATCCAGTTTCAGAGACACAAGAAGATTTAGAAGTAGGGAGATTTGTCTTGGTAAAATTTTACTCTCGTCGAGGAAAGAAAACTTACAAATATGTTTGCCGAATTACCTGTATGGACCCCTTATTAGTCGAAGGTTTTAAATCGATGGGAAATAAAAAAGACTTCAGACTTGTACGTGACGACATATCAGAAATTGAAGAGACTGATATTTTAAGCTATCTGTCAAGGCCTCGAACTTTTGCTAGTAAAGATAATGTTGAATGCGTTCAGTTTAACTTTGATGTTAATATTTTAGAACTTCCTTGAATTAACAATTTTGTTACATTCACTATGGCTACTTTGAATGATCTCTTTTATTGAAATTTTGATCTCATTTTGTGAACTTATAAAAAATATAATTAGATATAAGGTAAAAGAAATTGTCTATGCATATTGTGTTTGAATTTGTTTTTTGAAGAATTTTATTGTCACATGACATAGGTACTAGTTGTAAGCTATAAGAAGTTTTCTACGAATATTTTGTTTGAATTTGATTTTTGAAGATTTTATTATCATCGAGTGACATATTAGAAGACTGTTACAGTCAACAATCTTTAATTAAAACAAAGGTTCTGTCATATATGGTAGTTTTATTCGATCAAAGTCACCCCAAGGTATAAAAACAGCAATAACTTTTTTCCCTGTTGACCGATTTTTAATTTCTTTTTTGTTTTAGGATAGTAATTGGGGTTACTTCCAATATTCATGCTAAAAAAGGGGGGTTTCAAAGTAACCCCAAATCAATTATAACTTTAATCACGCTGTTTTTATTTTTTTTCTCAAAAAGTATTGAATAATTGTTTATTCTTTTAACGTTTTTAGAGAGAACTATTAAAACCGATAAGTCCACATTTTTTATATAAAAAAAAAATCACGGGATAAAAAGTTACAGACGTTTAAATTTCAAAATTGATCAAAGTAACCTCGGTTTACGGTATTACGAAATATAACCCAACGTTGAAAATATGTAAAAAAGTGCAATAAAGCAAGTTTCGAAGGTTATTCCAGTTTAAATTCATAAAAGTACCTCTCGCTACGCAACCCAAGCTACGTTTGTAACTGAGGCGTAGCTTGGGATGCGTAGCGAGAGGTACTTTTATGAATTTAAACTGGAATAATCTTCATAATATACTTTATTGCACTTTATTACATGCTTTCGGCGTTGGGTTATATTTCGAAATATCAAGATGCTACACATACTAATCACAAAACTATTCATTCAGCCAGTGATTCTACTCATAGAGTAGACCCTAGACTACATCCCTCTTCCTCACAGCTGAAGGGGTGAATATCCCTAGCTGGTGCTCTACCTACGATAGGCAACTTACATAAGTGATCAGCCTTTACTATAGGCTAGCCACACAATGCTCGGAAGCTATTACCTTACCAACAAGTAACCACCGAGGAGGCTATGGCTTTAGTCTACCAAAAACCTATCTAAAAGGACAGACCATGACCACATCCTAATCAAACAAATCAAAATATAATTACTCGCTATCCTAGCTAATTAGGAAACCTGACTAAACCCTAAGACTTTATTTCAGCGACCCTAGCCTGGCTGAACGATCCTAACAAAATTTCTAAACATCACTACTGAAACTTCCTAACTGTTTCCCTAAATTGTCTTCAACGTGCATGCTGCTACAACGACGACACAGGCTAGAGCATCCATCGGATGATCACTGGGTTACATCAATATTGATCTCCCAGCTGCCTCAGTCCTCATCCTGCAGCTATCCACATTCCATCAGCTTTTCTCACTTCCTTTAAACAAACAAGAACAAACACACATATAACCCTAACAACACATCCTAACATACATAATTATGGGATATCCCCATATTCCATATGAAGGACTTAATAATTAAATAAATATATCTTCCCTGAATGCAGACAGTTCTTGTTCATCTGGGAGGGTGAGCACGAACGTAAGGTAAGGTAATAGCTTCCGAGCAGTGTGTGGATAGCCTATAGTAAAGGCTGATCACTTATGTAAGTTGCCTATCATAGGTAGAGCACCAGCTAGGGATATTCACGACTTCAGCTGTGAGGAAGAGGGATGTAGTCTAGGCTCTACTCCATGAGTAGAATCACTGGCTGAATGAACAGTTTTGTAATTAGAATGTGTTTTGGAAAATGAAGTAAGAAAAGAATAGAGCATCTTGATATTACGAAATATAACCCAACGCTGAAAATATGTAAAAAAGTGCAATAAAGCAATTTTTGAAGATTATTCCAGTTTAAATTCATAAAAGTACCTCTCGCTACGCATCCCAAGCCACGCCCCAGTTACAGTACCATAAAAATAATATTCATATTGAATTTAATGGACAAAATTGAAATAATTTTATGATAGTTAATTATTCGCTACAATAATTAGAATGGACAGTTTAATGCTATTTAAAATGAAAAATTGCAACATTAAATTTTAATGTCACGACAAATTTCTAAGTAAATATTGTGTTGCGTTAACCAATTAAGTTAGAACAGCTTTTTAACCAACTTAAGCTACTTAAGTTGCCATTTTATCACCAATAAAATGTAACACCGTTGTTTAATTTTACTCGTACTTCTTTAAGTCATTTTAATCTACAGATCGTAAATGTCAGGTATATAAATGATTCAGATTGTTTGGTTGTTGGTTTTTCTCTCCATTCCCTTCATTTTATTTCGATTTTGCATAATGTTATAAACTTCCTTTGTTTATTTATTTTTTATTTTATATCTTATAATGTATGTATTTATTACTATTATTTGTATTTTATTTTATTGACGAGTACCTAGTGTATTTATTCAAAACACTTTCATTACAAGACATTCTTTAGTTGCACCCCTCTTTCCAACTCTTAAATTTCTGTCCTAAGGTTTCCTGGAAGAAATTGCTACTTAGCAATAAGGCTACCTATCGCACATTAGCTTACTCCGTGTTACTTACATTACTGTTCTGTGTTGTCTCATTGTAATTTTTAAAATGTGCAATAAAGAATATGTTATTCATTCATTAGATTGGGAGAATTTTGAGGTTAGGAGGAAGGTTCATGGTTTTCGCAATTGTTACACATTGGAAATTGTAAATTGTTTTTTAGATCTAAATAGCGTACATTCGTTTTTTCAAGCAAGCTATTACAGGTCCCAGTCGTGAGACTGATTGAGATGATCTCATCTATCAAACATTGTGTAGTTAAAAAAAATGTACTTTATTTAGTTCCGGAAATAAGTAATATTTTTATCACAATTACAATTATTATTAATTATAAATATTTACTAGCAGTAGAGCTTCTTGTGAAAGAGTTTATCCAGGAAAGTACTGCCACCTAACCTACTTATGCCGCCAAGCAGTAATGTGATCATTTTGAAGGGTAAGGTAAGGGTGCTAGTAAAATACTGGCTCATGGGACTTATCACCTTATGTCTCAGCGTGACGGGTGCCCCTCAAATTTTTGCGAATCAAAGCTTTGAGTGACACTGCAACTGTCATGGATAGGCGTGTCGTTTACTACCAGGTGCACGACTTGTTTGTTCCGTCCCTTGATATCATAACAAAAAATATAAAGACATAAAAGGTAAAATTTTACTAATTAGATGAAATTGGATGTCAGCGGTAGATCACACAATGTGCTGGTAGAGTGTTCTTTCTTAATTCCTTTTCTAAATCTTGTTACACGTTGGACCAGGTACTTGCCTTCTTTCCCGAGACTGTGCTGCAACCTTGTCGTGGTAAGGGGTCTTGCGTGCCCTTATGATGGCTATGGCGGATATGACAGGCTTGTGAGGGAGGGGTCGGACGAAGAGCAGCACATCCTGCAGTGGACCCACTTCCGGTACCACTTTGATTAGCAGAACAGATTGGGATGTGGTAGAAGCTCTGCCTGTGGTCGGTAAAAGAGCGGGCTCTTTTTAGAGCGAGAGTCGCCATCAAAGATGGGGACCACGAGGAAACAAAAGCTCTATAAAAACTAAAAGTCTACCGCACCCTAAGCGGTCTGGATGCGGGTCGCAGCGTATTCAGTACCGAGCTTGGGCCAAATAAGTTATGTGACTGAAAGGGCCAGGTCCGGATTAGCGGCCAGCCGGAAGTACTACACTTGTATGGCGAACGGATGGGCGTAACTGCGTCTCGATGGCGCTCTTCCCTTTAACAGGAGCAGAGGACCTCACCCACAAAAAGGAAAAATGAGTGGGAATAAGGAGAATATATAGGCCGCAGGGCCCCCGGTGTACCCACACCGGGGGCGAACCTAGGTTATAATACCAAGGCCAGGTCTCGTCTTCAGTTGGCAACCCTGCTGCAAACCACGCGCACTGCGTACAAAGTTCGCGGGAAGAATCCCATGGCTCCAACAGAGAAGAAACCATCCGGGAGATATGAAATCATCGAGATGACCTGACAGGGAGTCGAAAAAATTCTCCAAGACGCTGCCAAAAGTCGCAATCTTAAGGGGACTGTCTGGGGAGAAATAAATAAAGGCCATAAAATTTTGAGGGCCATGGATTTACTCAAATTATACAAACCCGACGCCTCATGGCAGATAACAAGAGGATGAGAGGGGAGTTGACCGCCCTGAGAGCTGAGGTGGCGGCTCTCCGAACGGCCTTCACAGAGAGGACCAAGGCTCCCGCATCACAGGGAATAGAGGACCTGGTGGAGTATCTAAAGAAGAATTTCCTAATCACTCTGGGTGAGATTACCAACATTCGCCCCGGAGAGAAGGAGAAACGCCTCCCACCTGAACCGATTCTTGGGGCACCTCTGGCTGCCGACAGGAGTGCCGTGTTTTCTCCAGCGCAGCGTTCGGTCAGGACGCGCCCAGTCAGCGCGACCACTGCTACCAAACCTGCCACCACCTCCCCTGGAGCTACCACCCGGAGGTCACGACAAGGCACTACCGCGCCACCCGGTATCAAGCTGGAGACTATGCAGGCTGCAGCGCCACCTACAGAATGGACGGAGGTTGTCCGGTGAAAACGAAAGCGCAAAAAGTCGAATAAAGCCGTCGCCGGCGATTACGGTCTTTTGTAAATTTTCTATGATATGTTATGTATTTAAAGCCATCTTTTGAGATATCGGCGGAAAAGTAGCGCTGAGGCTCTACCCAGTGTACTAATTCAGGGCTCACTTACCTCTTCGGCTTATTGTGTATTTTTTTTACTTGATTTTTCTTTTGTTTTTTAGTTTTTGATTTTTTTGTTATATTTCAACGATACACGACTTTACAAAATATCTGGCTTTGTTAAATGGTAACAAATTATTTTAGTACGCACAATGA